GCTTTCTCCTTCATCTAAAGCCTGATCTCACCCTGAGACTTCTGTGTCCCACGTAACAGAGCCCTTCCTTTGAGGAATAGACTGCATTTTGCAACTCTTTAGATTTACACAGATACACAAGCAATTTTTGAGACAGGTGGAGGAACAACTGACCAGAGACATTCAAACTGGACCGTCCTTTCAGTATTCTCAACACAGCTCAGAAAGCCGTCTGAAGTTTTACTTTCAGAAAATTACAAGGGCTCAGCATTTGTGCACCAGCAATAACCAGGCATTTACAGCAGACACAGGTATTTATGGTGATTTATAGGCAATTAAAAATGTCAGCTTCCTGGTGAAGGAAATCTGTTGAAAGACCTTCTAGCAGACGGTATCTGCAGAGTGCCAAATGAAACTCTTATGTGTTGCAGTTGGATCCAAGCAGCAGGTTTTAAGCCTATTTTAGGCACAGCAAAGAACACTGAACCAAGATGAAATATGGCACTTATGTCCTACAGTCTGACACAGGGGAGGATAAAAAATAGTTTCATACAGGTCCACTGCTCCCTGTTCCCCACCTGCAACATAATGAATGCAAAAGCAACAGCAAAGTGGGGGACAGGACAACACATGCTTCTCCTCAGGTTTTTCACAAATCACTGTGACCTTGAGTATCCAAAGCTGTCAAGGGCCCAGGGCTGAGTATCAGAGAAAATGTGCCTCTCGGAAAGGAGTAAATCGGTATACAGACCCTCTGAGAAAACAAAGCAGTATTTCTTTCCTGTTACTAGAATTTAACAAGCCCCACCTCAAATGGGAAGAGCCCCATTGGTGGCTAACTGTACAATTTGGAGAAATGGTTTCCCTTCAAACACCTAAAACACATGTCCAACAATCACTCATGTGCAGCAGCTTCACTGTATCACAGGCCCCACTTTCGTCCCCATAACCAGATCACTTCATACACCCAGGCCTCTCTGGGACTGACAACACACAGGTACACAAAGCAGGAAGGGATTGATTTTATGAGAGAATGTTTCCAGCACATGGTCAGAAATAGGTATTTCTGAATTGGGCTGGAGAAATGCCCCCAACCTAGCATACAGTCCACAGAAAACCTCCGACTACTCTGTTTCATCTGAGACACTTACACAGATATAAATAGCATGAGAGAGGAAATTTCCATGAAAGCAACACAAAATTATTAATAAGAGATCAATTTACAAATAGAAGGCTCATATAAAAGTAGTAACTGGAAATCTCAAGAACAGTTAATACTTTCCCTCTGTTTATCGTTCAGCAGCTTACAGAAAGCTCAGAAGAAACTTAAATCTTTTGTGTATTTAAACACAGTTTATGTATGCTGTATACAACTGACACAAAAGTGACACATGCATCTATAAAGGCAGATTTCACAATAGCAAATTCATCTTAGAGGAACAATACACCTGAGATGTGATGCTGGGCTTCTGTGTTATTTCCACATTCAGAAGATAGACTGAATTACTTTACCTCAGTGTAAGATGCTAAAGACAAGGAACACTGTAGCAAGTCTCTACAAAAGAGAAAGCAAGACAGTGAAAGAAGGTAGCTGGCAGCCACAGTACCTGATTTATTAGTCTAAGTGAAGATATTATTAAAGGTTAACAGCAGACAGAATCCCTCCACAGAATATTCCCTCTTGTTACATACACCTTGGAGTGAAAGGAAGGAAAATAATGCTGAGGTTCAACACAAAACCTCAGCTCTTCCACTGCTAAAAGCCATCCGTTACCAGTTCAAAACCTCCCTGCTCAGCCAGAATCTGGCTGCCTTGGCCCCCTTTTCACCCATAACCCACAAGCACAACCATCATTCAACAGCTGTATGCAGTTTTCCAAGGTACACAACACCCAGAGATAGAACAGTGCTGGCTCAAAGGAATTTCAGAGGATGTTAGATTACTTCAGTGTTTTGGGGGCATGCTGTTGAAGCATACTTTTTGTTGCAGAAATGCAGGGGGAAATAAATGACCAGAATAATGCCCTTTCTCAAGGAAAGGAGAAACACAAATGATAAACCCACTGGGGAAATCACTGTCTTGATACACTCTATCTGAAAAGTTCACTTGAATTCTCTATGTGCAGTGATGAAAAAAGACGTTTAATCGAGGCCAGATTGGATGGAGCTTTGAGCAACCTGGTCTAGTGAAAGGTGTTCCTGCCCATGGCAGGGGGGTTGGAACCTTTAAGGTCCCTTCCAACCCAAATCACTCTATGATTCTATGAATCTCCTCACTACACCAAGTTTCTCATTCCTATACATCCTGCATTATTTTTTCTTAGCAAACTATATGTTACTACTTATAATTCAAACACATTGCTTCATACTGATTACCTTTCTACAGTAGTTCACACTTTTCCGCTTATTCTTAGCACTGGAGAAAACAAACTCCTACAAATTCAGTTTTAGCTCTGATTGGAGTTTTGGCTGTGTGAACAAGTCATCGTAGGCTTCTGTGTGTCCTCAGACATACACCAGGTAGCTTGTTGCTCCTATCCTGCTCTCAGCCCAGAGTCAGTGCCTGCACACCCAGCTACCACCGCTGCACTCAGTAAGGATGGGTTGACTTTACGGAGTGCTGGGCCGCAACAGACAAGCCTGCTCTTTGGCAGCACACTCCTGGAGCACTGGCGTTGTATGACCCCACTGTACAAAGCTTTGGGGAGCTAAACCAGCAAAATAAAACCATCAATGCAATTGCTTTTTCTCCATTAAAAGAAAACTCTAAAGCCCACAGAAGTGGCTCACCAAGGAATCAAGGCCAGCTTAACAGAAGTGGTAGAAACATGCACCCTTGAAGTAAGGAAAAGAACCATGGCAGCTACAGCACAGGCTGTGCTATAATGTGGAGTAACAGCCGAGGCCCACTCACTGGCTTATCTAACAGTTACATCTGCAAAACTACAATGGAAAGAAAACCAACAAAGAGAGAACTCTGGAAAAGTTTCACAAATGCTAACCAGTCCAGTACTGTCAGCTGAAACTTGCTGGAAGCTCAGAGGAAAATTCCTGGCTTTCAAAACTCCTTAACCTGTTGTGTGCTCATTTGGACAGGCAGCCAGGTTGTCAGCAGCCCCTCACCTATCCTGACCGTGTGGAGCGCTGCAGTGAGTCTCCTCCATCACACATATGAGATGATGGGGAGAGCTGGAATCTTGGGGCAGCTCTGCAGGAGGTACTCAGGGAGGCTGAAGGTCCTCACTGCAGGCTGAACACGAGGACTGTTCTCTCAGTGCATGACATTTTTTGCACGTCTTGAAAACAGGCTGCTATTAATTTCTTTCTCTTCTGTAAGATGTTGTCCCAAAACTTCTGAACCACCTTTCATATCTGGGGAATCATTGTGCTTACCTACTTTACTGATGAGGACAGTGAGGGACAGCAAGAAAAAACAGTACACCCAAGGTCACTCAGGAGTAAGATGACTGGGATTCACAGTTCAGTATTTGATTTTCTAGACAGGACAGCCTTACAAGCATGTGGTTGGTTATCCAGCAGCCTCTTTTAACAAGCTAATACATATTTTGGGTAATTCCCCTTTTACCTTACAACAGTAGCAGATATTTCAAAATAATTAAACCAAATATATACATAACAAGAATCTCTGCATCCTGTATAAGATTAGCTGAGTTAGAGATGGGACAGAATGGAGTGAAGATGTTAGTAGAACTCCTCACATAGGATTGTTTGGTCTGTTAACAAATGGCTTTGTCATCATCAACTAGTATCTGTATGTGCTGAAGATGCATTTATGATGAGGTTTACATCAGACATGTCAAAACAGGTAGTAAAACACAATGTGAATCCCACAAACCAGCCATAAGCACCACACAGGAACTAGACACACAGAACCGTAAGAACACTTTGGAGTCGCAGCTGATCTAGTTAGCACTGACTACCAGCATCTGGCATCAGAGACTTCAGGGGAAAGTACCAGAAACCGTGCTGTGGGTGTGTTACGTGCACGTGGGAAGTCTTCTCCCAGCCCCATTCAAACTATAACTGTCAGCTTACACCCTGACTCAGAAAAACCCCGTCCAGCTAGTAAGTTAATTTTATCCTTAGCTTATGTGACTGAATGATTTTAAGTTTATCTACAGTCAAGATTTTACCCTGAACTGTAATTCTGACAGAGAAGTTCTCCGTTAATCTCCAAATTAAAACACGCATACCTCACCAATGTTGACAGACGTTACACATCCAAGTTCAAAGCACAAGGCCATGCATTTTACTGTGCATTTTAATGTTGTTAAAAAAACAAACTAAAAACCCACTCAACAGCCGTCAGACAGTACTTTCTATTTAAGTTAAGGACCAAACTACATTACCACTGTGGTAATAAGTGAGGGTAGCTGAGGCCTACAGAGTATGTTTAACAGGAGTTGATGGCTGTGTGACAACTGGCCTAACCTGAGTTTCCCTGTTCAGTACCCTTAAAGCAACATATCTAAAGGCATAAAAAAAAAGGAAGAGCAGCGAGTAATTTTCCCAGAAGCTCGTATTTAAAGGAAAAGGAGATTCCGTTTTCAAAGCAACAAGTTTATCAAAGCCAAGCAACTCCAGAGCTGATGCAGACACAGAAACGCACACGCTGGAATTTGATGAGCCCGTCTCATTTTGTCCCACTAAGCCCTTATTTTTAATGGGCACACACACCCCCACCACCCAAACCTTCAGGCCGAGGACAAGCCGCGCACCCCTCACTACCGCCCCGTCCGCTCGGCAGCAGCCAAGTCCCGCATTGCCCCAGCCCCGAGGGGTAACCGCCCCACCCGTGGCCGCCGGCCCGGCATTCCCCGGGCTCCAACTCGTCCCCCACCGTGCGGAGGAACTTTCTGTAGGCACAAACGGCGGACCCAAGGCTGGCAGGGCGGTAATGCCGGGGACGCCGGGCCGCGGATCGAAACCCGGCCCGCAGCGTGAGGAGGACAGGCAGGCACCCCCACGGGCGAGCTGGGAGCGGAGCCTAGTGGCCTCACCTGAGAGCAGAAGTAGGAGCCCTGGATGCCCAGCTTGAGGCAGGTAGGGCACTGCAGCTTGGCCTCGCTGCTGCAGCCAGCCGTCTCGCAAACACGGGTCTCCACCGCCGCCATGCTGCCGGGCTGCCACAGGCGCGGCGCGGCGAGCGGCGGGGGAGGAGCCGCCGCCCGGAGGTGCCGCCGGCTGGGGCGGGCGGGCGGCAAGAGGAGAGGAGAAAAGAGAAGAGAAGGGGAGGAGCGGCCTATAGGCCGCTCAGCGCCGCTCCTCCCCTCCTCTGCTCTCCTCTCCCCGCCCGCCTGCCCTCCGCGCAGCCGCCGGCCGCGCAGGTAGCCTTCAGTGAGGGCAAGTTTCCCATACAGAGGGCTGGGCGAGATGTTGCCGGTACGGTGACGGGATAACCCGGCCGGCATTTGACGGAGGTGAGAGGAGACGCTATACCCCTGATTCCCCGCTTCAAGTCATGCTGCAAGGTGTTGTTCAGTTGCGTTATAAAAGATGCCTAAGGGCTTGTTCTTCCTTCGTGTTGCCATTGTGCAGTGAGATCCTAATATACACGTGTGGTGTGCAGGAGGTTTTGTTTGAAAGGTGCACTGGATTTAGCCTCATGGCTTTCTGTCGGCGATGAAGGGGGAAGGTCAGTGGCTTCAGTTCTCATCTTTGTCATTAGTGGGGCCTTATCTCAGATTTTTCAAGCATGCTTTATTACAGAGTTCAGTGTTGGTTTATATTGTAGTCTGTCACATAATCACAGACTAGTTTGGGTTGGAAGGGGCCTTAAAGCTCATCCAGCTCCGACCCCCTGCCACGGACAAGCACACCTTCCACTAGAGCAGCTTGCTCCACACCCCTGTGTCCAGCCTGGCCTTGAACACTTCCTGGGATGGGGCAGCCACAGCTTCTCTGGGCACCCTCTCGAGTGCCTCTATTGTAAGAATTCTTCTGTAGGTCTGCCTGTGTAGTTCATAATAATTCTTTTCCTCTATTTTTAACTCTCATTTGGAGGGAGAAGAAACAAAAACCGTAAGTTCAAAATTCAGTAAAGCAGTAACTAAAACTAGAAAAAGAGGCTGCAGAATCATGGTGGCATTGTCACAGGAAGGAAGCTGATTTTCTTCCTGAAAAAGTTAGATAGTGGTGATGTGTCATAAAAACACTGCATATAAAGCTAACTGTGCATATGTCCTCTGCATATAAAGCTAACTGTGCTTATGTCCTCTGAGTAGCAATATCAAAGCTATTGTCAATATATACTAGAACATCTCTAACAATATCACTGCAAGACACTTTTTGCTGGTTTGTAAGTCAAGAGGAAGTTGATTTTAAAAAGAACATGGTGAGGTGCCTACTGAGTAGGAGAATAGCTGCAAAAGACTTCAGAGCACGTATTTGCTAGATCCAGCCATTGGTGCTGGGATCCCACTCCTTGCTTAAATCTCAGTTGTCTTCCCACTGGCTGGCAGGCACAGCCTGTGATTTCAGTCAAAACTTTGCAGGATCAGATTCTCTCTTCTTGCTCAATGTCACTGACTTCAATAAAACTATGCCAATCTTAGTACGCAAAATATCCTCCTCATTTCCTGGCATCCAGCTAACTCCCCAGAAAGCGTCATTCAAATCCAAGCTATAATCTCAGTATTTTCTGCAGTTATGTTTTATTCCCTGTGGTCTTCTGGCCCTATCTTCAATAGAAAAAAATATATTGCTTAGGCTTAGAGGTTAACTGAAAATTTCCACTTCCTAACTTCAGAACACAAAAGCATTGCATCCTATTCTTTTCTCAGAACAGTGTATTCATATAAACATACCTTCTATGTTATGGTAGTGCAGTTGGTAAAAAGTGGTTAAGTAGCCCAACTTTTTCCTGTTTTGTTGTGTGATAAACACTTTCACCAGGATGGTAGAACAACCAAAGGTATTTGATGCCATGCTGTTACTGAAGTGTAATTGCAGGTGGACACCTGTCTTTCTGACAGCTCTCATCTTCGTTTCTCTAGTAGCGATAATACTTGCATCCACCTATTGTTTGTAGAAAGAGAATACTGTAAGAGTGAATTAGGAAATGTTTCTCAGATGATTGTAAAATACAAGCATTCCAACTATTACTTTCTTCAGCAAGTGAAAATAGCTATGTATTGATTCATGCAATTCATGCTGTGACACCATTCAGGGCCATATTTGTCCTACCTAACAACCAATAGCCAACCAACATCATGAAATGTCTTTAAAGGATGCATTCACAGACTCTGATTTTACATATCCCAAATTAAAGTCATTATTAAAGGCTTGGTTTAACCTTCTTAAAGCAAAATGTTACTGAATGGGGAAAATCACTCTTAAATGATCCACGTTGCTAGCAGGTCTTGTACTTTTTCAAGCCCATGAATATAGCACTTCTTTTCCAAGTAACCAACAAATCAAGCTATCAAGCAATGTAGGACAGGTACCTTCATGCACTTCAGTTGCCACTGTGTGCCATTTAAGGAACCCTTTGGAGTTGTAGATATCATTTACCTGGTTAAGCAGGGTTTACAAGTACTTGGTGTCACGGATGTAGTATAAAAACCTGAAGCATACTGGTTGATCTAGTCCAGTGTCTTCTGTTCAGATGTCATCTTCTTGATGAGATTTCAGTATAATTGCCATTAATAGTTTAAGATACTTTATTAAATTTTATAAGTATTTCATTCACATTTAATTTAATGTGTGAGTATAACTTTACAATTTATTCCTATTTGTGTCCTTCACAACAGCAGTATATGTTTGTGCTCATTCTGTAGTGGCTGACAAAGATCCAGGTTAGAAAAAAAGAGGACTCCCATTCTAAGTAGTAGACAGGGATCCTTCTGTTACTCAGTTTCATTTTTTGCTGCATTTCTGAAATGCAAATAAAAACATGCTGTTTCCTTGCTTCCTTGGAGAAGCCGAGGGTGCATATATTCACAATTTAAAAATATACGTGATTTAAAGAACAGTGAGCCACCTCATAGAGGAGTTAGCAAATTTGCTCACTCCTTCTCCTCAGCGTTTGGAAAGAACACAGACTGCACTTGCAGATCAACCTAGAGTAACAAACTGAAAGATTTGACCTAAGATTGTGGTGGTTGTTGTCATTACAAGAACAGTAAACTCCATCTTTTTACTTTTATATTATCATTCTCATAGTAAGGATTATGTAGATTCTGTTGTACTTCAGTGCTTTTGTTTTCCAGTTTGGCCTTGAATTTCTGATTTGGTAAGTGAACCCATTCAGGCCTCGTGGAGGTCCAGCCACTGCCATTTCCCATTCTCTGGTGGCACACTGATTCTCACCAGGGAAGTTCATTGACCTTTGCTGTGACCTTCCCCGAGGAGAGCTCTTTTTCCTCTGTCAGGCTTTTCATGTCACTTTCTAGCTGCCCGTCCCCCTGTGCCACAGACAAACACACACAGAGAAGCATGAGGCAGAAATTTTATAGCCCATTCATGATCCTTGATTTATGCCCCTGCTGTATTCCTGCTGTCCTCCCATCTACTCCAAAGTGATGCAAGGCTGGGAGTGCATGAGGTTAGCAAACAAGGGCAGAAGGAGAGGTCAGCAATGTGTCATGGGTCAGATAGCTGCTGCAAAAAAAGCTAGAGCAGCTGGCAGCTCAGGCAGCTGCTGATTAGGAATAAAATGGCCACCGACTTTGACATTACTTAATTGAGTGCCTTAGCTCATGTTCCCCCTCCTCACTTTGCTTCCATACATTGTGATAGAGGGGGTTGGGCAATCGCACTTTCCTGGTGAAGCTCTTGGGTATAGTAGCTGTCCTCTGTTCAGGCTCATTGAAGACACAATTAAATGCCTCTTTGTTTAGTGCTAGATGAAACAATGCAAAAATACCACCCAGGAGCCAGACCACATGCAAATGTGTGCTAGTGTGGCTCAGCCAGATGGTACAGGCACTTACTGAGATTCTTGTACCAAATGCAACAGTTAATGTAGGTGGTGTGTGTCTGTATGTGCGTGTAAAAAATGCACAACTGCAAAACCATCGCAAATGCACACAAAGGCAAATGTCTCAGAGATGACCACAAAAGGAAATGTAGCATGATTGAGTGCAAAACAGCCCTTGAAGGAAACAGTACCCAGAAGAAAAGACAAATGGTGTGGTCAAAGTAAAATAGTCTTATTATAGCCAGAGAAAATAAAAAAAAAGACTGCATAAACATCCTTTGTAAATGAAGAGTTGCATTAAGGAAATAAGTGTCTCCATGTTAGCTCTTTAAAGAAAAATGATATGGGCTTTCAAAGTCAGTCTAATTCTGTAAGTCAAAAGAGGCAGCAATCTGTTGTAAGCCCCTGCATCACTTTTATTCCTTCCATTGGTGGAACTAAATGAAAACTACTTAAAGGCCCACTACAGCCACAGTTCAAACTGGAACAGGCTTATTCAAAGCTAATTCCAAGCGTGCTTTCTCTAGTTGTGGTGAAAAGGAAGGTCCTGCACATTCTTTTGTTTTGCTTGTCCAAGCCGTGCTGGCGCATAGGTATCGATAGAGCAAATCAAAACTGTGCTTTAAGAATGGTTCCCTCTGAATTCAAGAACATTCTTCCTTCACCCAAGAATCTTAACATTTTCCAGTATATGAATATAAAACTGGTTGTTTCTCATGGGACAAGAGCAAAGAAAAACAAGCTGCATCTTTTTAAACAAAATGGTGATTTATAAAAAGCATTCCTATTTAACCAGTAAGTTACAAGCTTTAAAGAGAAAAACTCCACTGCTTGGAATATCTGAAAGAATCTATGAATGTGCCTTGAGGTGATAAAAATTTTTGTTCATTACTATGGAAACACAATAAAAGTCATGTAGTAAAGTTCTGGGTAAATGAATTCCATGGGAAAACTACTGATACCAACAGGGATTTCACCCAGTTTTTGTCAGCAAAGTAAAGGCCGTAGGAAAATAAACTTACTAATAGGTTTGCATTTTTTTGTTTTGGGGTTTATTTTTTTTTTCACTTTAGGTATCATGGACAATGCTATGAGACATTAAAAATTGTTTCTACTTCAAGGTTTCAAAATCAAACTAAATTTATCAGATTTTTCCTCACGTAAAACACTGTGATTCTAGAAGCGCTGTATCATGGATGAGAGTGATGTGCTCCATTTCCACTCAAATCAATGGGATACAGGTGTGCAGATCCATTAGAGCTTATACTTGCACAGTGCTGATGCCACACTTTGCAGAATGAAACAGATGTTCCTAACAACTACTTAAATGCACACTGAAAATTAATAGAGCCCTAATGTGTGTGAGGATTACAGAAAAAGGGATACTCAACGTTCCTTTACTTCAGATCCTTCTTTTTTCTTACTGTAACTTCAAAAGGTGTGATTTCTGGATGTATCTATGAGAACTCTTTGCCTTCTATCTTAATTTTCCTTTTAGTTTGAAGATGCTATCACTTGCAAGGCAGCCACATCAATCTGAGGATCATGTTTATGTGTGTTAGTGATTTAAGGAAAAGATTACAGCAGCTCATAATCCTCTCATTGCTATTATATGTTGTTAGATAACTTCTGATGTCATCTGTAGAGGCTTTGTGCCTCAGTAACTCAACAAATCAAAGAAAAACATGTACCAAATCAAAACACATGCTTACTTCCTATTTGTGTGGTAATAAGGTAGGCCATGTTCTGAACTCAGATGTACTATATTCATCTATCTTTTTAAACTTTGTTAGTAAACATACCTGTCTTATAGGGGATGTTATGCTGTTATCCGTCTTGCATAAGAAAAATGAAATAGCCAAGTGCTATATGACATTCAGTAACGCTCATTTACAGTTCTCCTCAATAAAATGGCATTCAAATCTATAAAATGTAGGTCTCTACTCTCTGTTCATTGAGAATGAAAACAGGAAATTAAACTCAGAAGAAGCTGGAGATAAAATGGTCAGAGGGGAAGAGGATTCTGGATGGGTTATCTTTATTTATATTAAGAGACTTAAAGGCAGGATTAAAACAGGTAGTCAAAGAACGTGCATGGTTGCCAAACAAATAAAATGGAATATCAGATCCATGTGGCAGCATATTTGGCAAATAAATGGGAAGTCTGGATTCACGTTAAACAGTCTGTAAATAATTACTAGGACCCAAATGTTCTAAAATAGGTAAATGAAGAGTATGTCACTGGAGAAATAATAATGCTTCTACATGTATTGATGTACTTTCTGAATGTACACATTTAATAGATTATGTTCCCAGTACTTTTTCTGCTGGCACATTGTATCTGTGAATGTGAATATATTTGCACCTCCATAAACCTTCTTTCCAGTAGCAATATCACAGTACCACAGCCCACGTAGGAGTTACGGCGCCAGGCAACATTTTAGTCAGTGTGACAGGAAGTTCATGTCCCCTTAAAACCATCTTAGTTTTGGAAAAACTATACTTTAAAGCAAATCCAATTAAGAAACTTATTAGAAATCATATAATAACTGCATAGGTTTAATGTTGAGCCTAAAGAGGGAGGGTTTAGAGAATACAAGTAATTACTAACTTGTTCCATAGTTAACCAACCCAATACTGGGTCTGGTTTACTAATAGTGAAATGCCAAGGAGGATCAAGTTGATCAGCAAGGGCAGAAAATACAGCAGGAACAGGAGACTTAGTTGCTTGTATGCAGATTATACAAATGTTACACCCAGATGTAACACAGAGACTTCTTAGACATTTTCAGTGTCTCTTCCATGGAACAGCTTGTTAGAAAGCCCACAGGGAGACTGACAACTTTTGACTTCACCCTGAGTAACATTTCAGGTTTGAAATCCCATGTTTGAAGAGCCATTCCGTGACAACTGCCTTAACATACTTGGATGCAGTACGATTACAGGAGCATCAGCAGCCAAAACATGCAGCAAATTTGCCCTCAGTTTCAAAAAGAGGAACTATGTAAAAATTTGAGAGTTTGTTAAAAAGTAACTTTAAAAGTGCAGCTAATTTGAATTCTTAGAGGCATGTAGGAAGCTATTTTACGATGCACATTTTAGAAACTTAAAGTCTACATGCACTTTTAAGGAAGGCTTGAGAATGGGCAAAAGGGAGACAGCACCAGTAAACAACAGGCTAAAGGAGGTTATTAGAAACAAGAAGCAATACTGAAATGAAAACAAACAAGCAAACAAAAAATAGAAAAGCCACCTATATTCCTGCAGATTAAATGTCAGAAAAGTTAGATTGGGTGTCCCATCCCTCCCTCCCCCCAAGGGAATCACAGCTAGTAATACATTTTTCTTCAGTCCTTAGGGACAGGAAGTGTGGGCTAATTGATAACCATGGTGTTAGCAGGAATACTCAAAGAAAACCAGACTGTTGCAGAGAAGTCTATAAACTATTTGAGTCAGTGTTCACCAGTGGCTATGCTACAAATTGAAGACATTTTGAAGAGAGAATGGCTGAAACTGATAAAATGAACAGTAAGAAGCCACTAGGACCAGATGGAAATTACTAACCGGTGTGTGTAATTACAGTTTTAAAGGTGTACTGATACCTGGTGTCTGCAGGATGGCAAATGGGATGTCAGTTTTTATAACGAGTTCCATAGGAGATGGGGTGCCTGACAAGCTGGGATGGGAATTCTGGTCTATCCACCTTGCAAGTCAGTAGAAACAATGTTAGGTGGCAGTGTTCAAGGCCAGGTTGGACGAGGCCTTGGATGATATGATTTAGCATAAGGTGTCCCTGCCCACGGCAGGGGGGTTGGAACTAGATGATCTTAAGGTCCTTTCCAACCCTAACAATTCTATGATTCTATGATAGAACTAGTAGACTCCTGAATAAATGTAATCTTCTTGGAAGAGTCAACATTACTTCTGTAGAGGGCTATTCTGCCTTAGGAATGTATTGAATTCCCTGAAAAGTCAACCTCCATGTGGAGAAAAGTGACTTATATAGTCTTAGTCACATTTTCAAGGGGTAACTCATCTGCTTTGAGGAGATAAGGGGATGCATACCTGTCTGAAGCTTCTGGAATATTTATCTCCAATCACACATTTCTCCCCTAAAGGGCTGTTCCTCTAATCAGTTCCCAAACCCTTCATTAGATACCTGGTTCCCTTAAAACTTAGTACTGAATAAGGTACATCTCAATCACTGTCACCTCCTTTAACTTTTTCTGGTCTCAGGAATGTAACTTCTTATTGCCTTTCTGTCATGAAATGAGCAATTCTGTCCTGACTTTGGGAAGTCAGGATTTCAGGGGACAGAGCTTTAAAGGGTGGATTTCTAGGGGGGATTGAAAGCATTCTAACCACTACAATTGCAAACAGTCTGTTCCTCATGCTGTGCCTCCATTTCTAGGTCACCCTGAAGAAGGGATACTACATTAATGTGCAGGAACAAACCTGGTCTCAAAGCCTGAAAACACCCTGCTTGCTAATGAAGTTTTTAGCAGGTAAAGCAGAATGGATGTGTGCAGATCTCCTACCAGACCTTCTGTGACAGGAACATTTCAGATGGAAAATGAAACGCCTCTCTCTGGAGTCTCACAGGAATTCTGCACTGCCACAGCCTTTTCTCATGGAACTAACTTACTGTTACTCCTCTGGCACTGCTGTATTTCTACTATTCATCTGATCAGGTGTCATCTTTGCTCATGAATATGAGCTAAAAAGCTAAAATGTCAGCTCTGCTGCACTGCTTAAAGATCTTACTTCTTAAAATAGCTCCATTTAAATTTTAGACCCTTTTTATGAATTAGGAGTGCTGTGGCAATTCAGATATCCTTTACAGCCTTCCAATCTCCTGTGGAACCATCAGAAATGTCATCTGTGGTAGGTCTCATTTGTGATTGATTTCTGTGAGGCTTTACCCTGCTGCTTGCACAGTAAAATGATGGTTTTCTTCCACAGTGGAGTGAATAAATTCCTCAGAACTTCTAATTAGTTAATTAATTGAGGGCCAAGGGCTGGGGGGAATGTAGCTGCTGCAACCGCTATAGTTACTGTAGTCAGAAACACAGTTCTGACTGGTTGTGGAAAGAGACTGAGTCAGCTTAAAACAGTGGACCAATACATCAGCTGTGTCAAGTGTTAAGACAAGTTTTGGTTTCAAAATAACAGCCCTTCTATCTTTGTCTTTTCCTCTCTTTGAGAGGGCTCCGCCTTTCAGGATTCTTATACTGTCCAAGTCCCTGATGAAGGTGATCAAACCAGGTGTCCAGGGCTTGGCAATTTGATCATAACAGTCAGAGCTTTAGCATCCTTTGTCGTCAAACCTGTCTAATCCTTCTTTGGCTGGAGAGCACCTCTCCCTTCCGTTCTCCCACACACCTCACGTGGGCTCTACTGACACGCCTAGGAAGTTGGATGTGGTAGTGTGGGATTCCACTGCTGCATCCTTTCACAAGAAAAAGGAGGTCTTAGATGGTCTGGGTCAGCCTACCTCTGTTGACTGATGCTTTCCTGCAGAGCCAGGAAAGAAAAAGGAAAAGATGGGAAGTTCCTCTCACTTCTTATCCTATGAACTCCTATTTCCCCGGTCAGGGAAAGCATCCCACCTTCTGGCTTCATTCACTGCCGTCCCACACCCCCCTGCAAGTAGTCCAACTGTACCGAGGCACAGTCAGCCTCACACTTCCGGCGTGCTGGCTTCGTGATGCCAAACCACATCAGCCATCAGGCTGGTGAAGAAGCAGCTTTCTGTTGGCCACTGTTTTTTTTGCCTGAGATGGCCAGCCATGTCGCCGTCCAACTGAGAGCCAAGTCCCTTGGATGTGGAGTCGGCGAAAGATGGAGTTGAATGGAACAGGTAGCGTGATGTGAAACGCAGACTCGGTCTGCAGCAAGCATCGGCTGCCGTGCCTTCACATCGGTGCCCAGCCGCACCAGCTCGCGCGGACAAACTACACAGGCGTCGGGCCCGGTGCTGGGGGCGGGAAGCGGGCTATAAACCAGTCCTTACGGCGCCGGGTACCTCCGGTACGGTTACACACCTACCGGCGTGCCTACACACGTTGGGTACCCGGCCGGTGATGGGGCGGGAGGCGGATGGGCGGCGAGGAGCGCACGCACGCAGGGGGACGGAGCGGGGGGAGGGGGAGCGGGAGGCGCCGGCCTGTGCGGGGGAGGGGGACTCGGAGCTGTGCCGGCTCCGCCACGCGGGGCGAGGGGTCGCTGGGCCGCGCCGGCGGCCACCCTGGGCGGGCGGCGGAGAGGCAGAGGGAGGGCCCGGCGCGGCCTGCGAGCCGGCGGTGCTGGCTGCTGCCGCCGCGGCGCCCATTGTGCCGCGCCCCGCCGCCCGGCCCGGCCGCCCTGGCGGCGCTGCGGCATTGGGGGACGCTGGGGCCGGAAGGCGCGGCGAGGGGGAACAGCCATGGGCGGCGGCGGCGGCCCGGGCGGGCGGCTCTGCGCCGCGCTCGGCGCATGTGGCGAGGTGGGGGTGGCCATGTTGCTTTTCGCCCGGAGGGTTCGGGTTGCCGGTCACCGAGGGGCGGCTCTTCCTCGCCGGCCGGCGAGCGCCCTTCCGGCAAGCGGGGAGCGTTTGGAGCAAGGTGTCGCGGTGAGGTAGGCACGGTGCCCGAGGGGTTGCGGTGAGAGAGGCATCGCGGATGTGGGGTGAGTATCGGTGAGCTGGCAGATGCGCTGCTGGGCAGTTGGGCAGCTGAAACGAGAGAACAGCGTGGGGTTTCTGAAGGATCAAGGCGTGTCACAAGCGAAATTGGTTTTTTCCGGTCACGTCATCTGGCTGGAGCAAGATATATTTTTTTTGTGTGTTTTGATGTTAGTCGAGATCTTGATTGTAATTAAGTACTTTTTGTCTAGGTGGTAAGTTGTGTTTATGATTTTATGCTTTATTTTCTAAATATTTCCCCCATTCGTACTACCATAGAGAGCTGAATTAGCTGGAAGGGGCCCAAGTACAGTTGTTGTTCCATGCTCGTTTATCATGAGTGGACAGCAGAAGACTGTATATTAGAGTTTAAAGAAAATGAGAAACTTAAGGAAGGGTACTGTTTGCCAGTGTGTGTTTTGGACAGGCTTTGCACCGTTTAGACAGAAAATGTTTAAGTTTGAAAATAACTGTTTTAAAATAAAGCTTACCATTTTGAATGGGGGACTTTGATCCTCCTCTTACGATTTTCCTCCATGAGCAAAAAACAACACCCCAGAACAAAACCAAAACAAACCAAAAACCAGCAGCATTAGTTACAGGAGGAGACTGAAATTGGTCAGCGTTTATAAATTGCTTGATGAGTAGTTCTGAACAGGAAGAATGTCAGTTGTTTAAGACACTGGGCTAGACTGCCAGCAGCATCCTTCGCATGTTCTCCAGTCACAGTGCTAAACACTTGTTTTTCCAGCTGTAGCCCAGGTACCTGAAAATGAGAGCTTCCTGTTAGCTCAGTGCTTTGTGTTGGTTGTGGGGTTCGCAGCAGGGGCTGTGATAAATAATTTTCAATACCATCAGCAATCAGAATGACTCTGTAGGTATGAGGAGAGGTTTGTGGCTTTCTTGGCTGTGGTTTTTGTGTAAGTCTGTCTCTGCACCATTCTCTCTGTTGCTGTTGCATAAATGTGAGGTTGCATGTTAAGCTACTGGGCATAGTGTAGCAAAAAATAAACAATTTTTTGCTGTGCTGTTTCCCTGGAAGGTTGGTTTCCCAGATCCAGTTCATCATGCAGTGACAAACAGGTGTGCTGAGCCAGTAAAGGTGGAATATGGGGTACCCTCACAACAGTTTAAGTAATGCTGTTGAATGTTCTGCCCTAGCTGAAGTAGATTTGACTTCAAGAAACAAATGTCAGCTATGCTTCCTTATTTTTAAATGTAAATAATAAAATATTTGTTTATTGCCCTCTTAGGTAGCTGACGCTTTTCCTGCCTAAGCTTAAATTTAGACTTGTGTAGTGACTGAGGTCATAGATGCCTAATGTTGCAGAAATATTATACATGCTTTTCAATTGAACAATTTAATTATATGTGTGGTTAGACATTGAATTACCCTTTGATCATAGAGAAGTATTTCTGTTGCTGACCTTCAAAATCCGGAGCTATATTTTTAGAGATGTCATCTGTGATTCCTTCCAAGTGTGAAAATGTGCCTGTTTTTTTGAAATGTAGGGTCCTACTGTGATGTTTCTAGTACTTCCATGCTCTCAAATGTAACACACCAGAACTTAAAATGTAAGAGGCTGGAAAAAAATGTTGAAACTCTTCAGGAATATTGACACTTGAGTTTAGGGTACTGAAAAGAGTCCAGTGGAAATTGCTAAGAAAAGCAAGATTATTGTAAATAAATATCAACCTGTTGCACGTTGGTTTACTTCACTGCAGAAAAGACATAAGCCTCTGCAACACTGAGAAGTTAAAACTTTTTTTTTTCCTTGTGCTGTCCAAACTGTATCTTTTAAGGCTATTTTTGTTGTGAGAATATGCAGAAATGTCCTATTAGTGTGTGCTCATATTGTAGCCTTTAAGGATTGAATGTGGTTGGATAACACTGTGCGAAAGTCCACAAAGTTGTCGACAAAACCAGCAGTAATGCTTTAGTAAACACTAGTTTACCAAAGGTGACTTTAAAATGTAGCCTATAACTTTTAAGTGGATATAAATCATGTGGAATCTGATCCCTCATTGTTCAGATTGGAAGTAGGAATCATGGTTCCTTTTTTTTTTGCTTTGTGACAGTTACCATTACACTTGCACAAATGTAATTCCTGTGAATTTAATGCTAGATTTTAAGATACATGACTGAAACTTCAGGCATGTATGATTTGAAAAATGTTTATTGCAACAGCTACTCGCCAGCTACGCAGAACTTTAAATGAAATGGGGGCTACAAACTCGGTGTAGGGCCTTGAAATTCTGGAAAGTTCAAAATAGCTCCTAAAACTCAAGGTATACTGGAAGGTATATTTTTTTTGTATTACTGACAGTTAACATGTAAATTAAGTGCAGGCCATGTCAACTTTGGACTTACTACTAGGCATTGCTGTTATAATAAAGTCAGTGACCTGTTATGGTTGAAACCAGTATAGTATTTAGCTGTAGTATTGTGAACACTTGCTTGCTCATTACATTTTCCTGAAATTATAGAGCATAGATGTATCTTCCATGCTGTTTAATATTTGGGAATGTCTGTCCTAAACTTTCAAGCTGTAAATTGTATTCCTGACTGAACAAAAGCTTTCTCAAAGGGGGGAAGATGTTGGACAGATCTTAAATTTTGAGATAAAACATATTTTTCTGAAAGCAGTTTCTTAAAAACATTTCACACAGCATATAAAACATCAGGCTCTCTTCAAGGTAGTGCATAAAAATAGCATGTGAGACTGAGTCGTGTTTCACTGCCTTGCAGGTGTGGAGGTACATGTGGAATTTTGATCAGAAAACGTGACCCTTCTGGCAGCTTTATGAAGATCAGTGTAAATTTTGAGAGGGTAGAGGGGAGGATCAGATGAAAGGTGTTGGTAGAGAGCCTGCATTGTGAAAGAGAAATGCACATTTTAAAAGTGAATTAATGTAACTTTTCTCTCAAACAATTTTATATCACTTTTGAAATATTCTGAAGTCAAGGCTAAACAGAAGTTGAAACAATTTTTAACCTAGAAACTTCAAGCTTATTTCTTAAAGCCCTAAAATGTATTTCTCTAAATGTTCACCTTATAAAGGTACTAGGTATGTGATCTACAGATTTAAGTGCGCTGTGTAATACAAGTGTGTTTTGTTAGCTGCCTGAAATTGGCACTTGTCCTTGATTCTTATATAGTGGATGCAAGGCATAAAAATTTTAACTGTTTAAAGGTATTTTTTTTTTTTTCCTAAATGTGCAGAGCAGTTTCTGAAATGAATAAACTTCTAAACAGTGGTCAGTTTTTGTCATGTTCAGTGCTGCTTATCAAAGTAGCTTGGGTACATTAAACACCGTAATCAGGAATACCAGTAGTATGTCCAGTACTTTATCCCTCTGACCCTGGAGGAAGTGTGTGACTCTTCTACTCCAGTCTTACATTCCTATACTTCTGTACATGTGTTGTACTTCTAATTTGGTGGGATATCACTTGGTTAAAATCATGTCACACTTTTGTTTTCCAAGTAGTGAATGCCCTTCTAAAAATCTGTGGTGTTCTAAGTAGTAATGTATGCAGTTAGGGTGGCTGCTCTGTATGAGGCCTTGCTATGTTACACCTAAAAAAATCTAGCTGTCCTGATGTCTGGAAATCTATTAAATGCTGTTTAATCAGTGACAGGCGCATATTGGTACCTCTCTTCCAGTTGGTATTCCACATGTGATTTCTAGCTCTGTGGATTTATTCCTTAAGAGTTGTGTATCAGATAATACTTGGTTTGTTTTTTTACAGCACATAATAATTGCTTGTAGGTGGGCTTTTAAATCCTTTTTTGTCCAGAGTATTCTGAAATAAATAGCTCTTTATTTGTGTCTTGTGAATTGTTATCTTAACTGTAGTGTAATAGCAGCTATTACAAAGAACACTAGGACCAGCAGATAGTTGTGCTTTTTCCCTTGACGTCTGTTAACTGGGACATGTAGTTTTCTCATTCTCTTGAAAACCGTAAACAAGGAGGTGTAAACTCTCGAATGTAACCTATTGATTTAATGCATGAAAACTTTGGAAACCTCTTCCACTAATACATTTTCTCAACTTTCACAAGGAATGAACAGCAGTGCTAGGCTGTATTATGTCCTTTTGGGCCATAAATATTGTGCTGTCTCAGCTGGACTTCCTAACCAACTTCTGTAGGCAATTGGATGACATGAATGTGGTCTGGGCAGTACCTGACAACACTTGGTGAAATCTAGTCAAGCTTGTTGTTTTCTTCAACAGACAAACCTGATTAAGCAGTTTTTACTGTAAGTGCTGTTTGTTTCCTGTCCTGGTATCGTGTACACCTTCCTTTGATATGTTGGTCATTATGTGCTGTGGAGAAAGAATAAATGAAATTAAATTCTATTAACATTAAATCTGCAAGTGTCGGAATCCAAGTAATGTTCAGATATGCACAGTCATTAAAAGCTGAGTAGGCAAATGTTTCATGGACTTCTGCAAGCTGATTCCTACATCAAACCCCATGTAGTTAGTAAATAAATGTTACTTTTAATTACATGCTGTCTTGTGTATGAGAAGTAGGATTGTCCAAATGAAGCTTTCCAGTTTATCTGGTAATACTGCCCTATATTACATCTATTTTAAAAGCAGCAAACCAGGTGGTGGCTTAATTTAATAGGAGATGCAAAGTCAATTTTAGGTTAAAGAATGCTTTAGTTAAATGCAATAGTAAAGTATTAAGGAGGATTTTAAATTTAGTAGTCCAGAAACTGCTGGTGGAGGAAGTCTGACTTAGTAGTAAGTTAATAGTGTAGCAGTTGTAAGATTTCAAGGTATGGATTGGCAAACTGTAGACAGTATAACTTTAACTTACCTTGTATTTCTTGAATCTTTTAAAACCTGCATGCTAGTGGTTTGGGGGTAGAATTTCACTGGAAGGAGGTTGGATAGAAGAAATGGACTTTGAATACCAATTAGTGAACTTACATACTTTGTGTTTGACTTAATAATGAAGAGTGTTTTGGTATCCAAACACTTTACTCTGTTGGTCAGAATAGTGAGATAAAGGTAAGATGAAAGGAAATAGGAGATGATATGATTAAACAGCCAAAAGTGAAAGTGGTCCTTTTCCAGTTTTCCGTGGTGGCAGTGGGAAATAAAAGGTAGTGAAAAAAAGGTGCTTTAGGCTGCTGTCTGAGACCAGCCAGAAAACTTCTGTGGTAATAAGCTTTGCTTCCAACTTTACACCTTCTTCCAGCTTTATTCTCGTGTGTACAGCTGCCCTATTCTTCATGAGCAGCCTGGCACTGTGGAAAAAACATCTCTTCTGGCTGGGTTAGGTTTTGAGGGGAGCGGCGTAATCCTAGGTCAAGATCATAGTTAGCTGGGCCTTGGAGGCAAGTTGTCATGTACTGTTTTAGACAGGAGCTTGAATTAATGTTAGTCTTGAGTTTCCTTAATGCTAGGTAGCTTTCAGGATATTTTAAGGGAGTTGTTATTGTGGTGACTTAACTAAAATGTGCTGAGTCAAATGCCTTCCATTTCTCCAGGAAGAGACTTTCGTGTGGTAATGAAGGGCAACCTGCAGTATACTGAGCAGGTATTGAGGTTTACTGCATTTTTTTTTTTCTCCTAATTGACTGGATGTACTACCTTAATCCTTTTTTGATGTTGTCTTGTATTAGAAGTTAAGAAATGGCATAGCCCTGCTTGTGCTCAATAGGTTTGTATTCATTCTTACAGTTTTTATAGTTACGCGTCTGGAAGAGTGACCAGGGAGACTTCAGGATTAGCTCTTTGTATATTGAAAGTTGTTTGTTGAGCAAGCATGAATGGGATTGTCAACTGAAATTATTTTTGAAAGATGCTCTGCATTGGTCAAGGGTGAGTTTATTTGATGTGAGAATCTTTAGTGTAATAGTATTTGTAAAACATTTTAAATATTAGATGTCACAACTGCAAAATACTGTGAATGAAAGCAAGTTTCATTACATAGACTAGCACTTAATTTATTTCAAAATAGCAACAAGATTTTTCTAGTCTGCTCACTATATTGGCACATGTAATATTTCTGACTCTTCTAGTTAGAAGCTCCTACAGGGGCAGCATTTGTAGTTTGTACTTGGCTTTTTGTAGTATAATACAAGCAATTAACTTGGAGGAGGAAATATTGAAGTGCTGCTTTGGTGTATTTATAGCCTTTGTGCCTTGACCACCTTGATTTGTTCTGTGGGTTCTTGTACATGGTTAAAGGGAAAGATGTGTATTTGATACCATCAACTTAAAAATAAATGGGGCAGCACTAGAAGTCTTAAACTAGATAGAATTGGAAGCACTTACTAAGTTTGTTTTTAAAATCTGTTATCCTTTTTATAGTATTACACTGCAGGAGATTTGGCAGATTGTTCAACACTGCTTCTGTGGGTTTGGCAGTGATGTTTCCCATTAGAGGATCTTTGGAAAGCATTTAGCTTTATTAAGAGGCAGGAAATTGTACTACCTGCCCCTTGTAGGGTGTAAATCAAAGCGCTAGCCCTTCAGTCTTTTCACTGTGAACATGGGAGCATATGAAGCATTCTTAAATATGATGCGCATTAGCTTTTGAGCTGAGGTTGTTGGTTGTTTTTTCCAGGTGAGCTGTTAAACTAAAGTGCACTTAAGTATTTTCAAGTGTAGAGGTGTAACTTCTCCGAAGTAAAACGTAGTATCCTGCCTAATGTTGCTAAATACGTTGATAATGAAAAGAAAATCCTTATTAAGACCTTTACGTGTAATCAGAAGAGTTTGCCAGCTGGGACAGAAGGTTAAACAGTGCTTGTTCAAGTTATCACTTCACATCCATTCTACTTTTCAGCAGCTTTGGTGATGAAAAGCTGAGTGCCGGATAAACTGAGTAACATGCAAGTCTGGAGTAAAGTGTTCCATTAATTAGATGACTTGCCATAACTTAGTTCACCCCTACATTGCTTTATTCTCTTAAGGCCACAGACTTTAACTTTGAATTACTACTTTTGTTCTGCTGTGTTTAGGAATGTCTAGAGTCTTTGGGTCTGTTGTAGTTAGTGTTTGTTTATATTACCAAAGTGTTTTTTCTTTTACAGAGTCAGCTGCAAGGTACAGGCATTTTTGTCTTGGCTGTAGGGAATGAGCTATAGACCTCATTCCTTGTCTCTGATATTCTAGCATGTATACAACATTATTGAGAGAGATAGATGGTGGTAACTGGTGGGGACACTTGGCCTCACAATAAAGCTTTGTGTTCCTTGGTTTGAAGGAAGGGCATTAGAATTTCAAACATGACAAAATAGCTTTTCAGACTGAATGGCAACCTTGAGGGGGATGCAGGGGGAATATATATTGTTTCACTTCTCTGTTTATTTGTGTATATTTGACATCTCTGCCACTATCTCTAGAGGTTGGCTAACATAATACCTGGGACTGGTCTAATCTGTGGTAGATGTGTGATTATGTTTATTTCAGTTTAAAATTTGAGAAGTGATACATGTTTAAATTCTGCTGTTTGGTGCCTGGAGCTTTGGTGGTAGAGGTGCTGCATATACAAAGATAACTACTTACCAGTTGGGATTCTAGCTGCTTGTAACAGCTGATTTCAGACCTGAGAATTGTAAGCATGTCTCCTGTTTGTAATAACAGATCTTTTTAAATAAAAGGGCCTGTACATCTGTTTCCAGTGGTGCTTTGTCAGAAACTGATATTTTCCCCTTCTGAAATTATTATTGTGGAAATTAATTTTTAGACATGTGTATTCTACATAACAGCATATTGTGTATTTCTGAGATAAATCTCAATTGTTCTGGAGTAAGACAAATAAGTAAACCATTTTGGAAACAAATGACATGGGGAAACAAATCACTGAATAGCAGAATGTGAATTCCTGCAGTTAGACTTTGTTGTAGGACCTGTTTAGATGCTGAAAGGAAAAAGGGATGCAGATTGTGAATTTGGGATGAATTGGAGGAACCCTTAGGTTCAACCTTCTTAGTTGCTTCAAAGAACTAAATTACTTCAATAAAAACTAAGAAGGAACATACTAATAACTCCTTTCTTCAAACAGGAAACCACTCCCAACCCTCAGCCTTCAGAAGAAGAGAAAGCTGAGCCAGCAGCACCTAGTCAGGAGGTTGCCAGCCCTGAACAGTATATTAAGCATCCACTACAAAACAGGTAAATACTGCAGAAGCATGATTGTAATTTTGCTCAAGATAGAATAATGCCTGTAGCTTTACAGCTGTCTTATTTACCTTATGCTTTCTAGCAGAATTCTTAGAGTTCTCCATTTTTTGAAGCTTTTTGCTGTAAGGTTGGAGAGGAAATAGGATCTGATCCTGTTGTAATTTAGAGCCTTTTCATGTAGCGTTGTTACAGAAGTTGAAAATATTTACGGATTTTCAGAATGAAGTCAGGTAATTAGAAAGAATGTGGCCTAGCTTTTAGTTAGAGGCAAGCAAAGCTTTTGTTGCTTTTGTCTCCTCGTGTCTGTTAAGAGACAGACACTGAGAGGAAGTTGCTGCCAAACAGAACTGCAAAAACTTCCATTCTGCCTTGAACTTCCAGCAGTTAAGGTGCCAGTGGTAATGAGCTGCTATTCTTTTTTCTTACTGGAGTCTTACTCTTTTGTATCTCTACCATTTTTTCTCCTATTTGGAACTGAAAATTGTAGAAGCTGCATTAACCAGCCAAAGAGCTTATTAGACTTGATCATATGAATGGTGGTTGTTTGCAGTTAATAGTGTTTTCATTATCTGTAGAAGGAACAGAAGAAACCCTGTTAAATGCAGATGTTCACATTTGTACCAGTGTGTTACTAAGTAAAAACTGTAGGGCACTTAAATTTTCTTGTTTATAAAGAAAAAACCATGAAGCAGTAGTTTAAAGTATAGCTAAAAAAAATTACTGAAAAATCAAAGCCCACTTACTAAATTGTGTTCAGAGTGCAAAACCACATCTACTATTCAGCTTTTTACTGACCTGTAGAAATAATGAGAACTTTACCAAGAAGCTTTGTATTCAAAAATCTCAACTTGAACCACCTTTCTGCAGTAAGGATATTATAAGCCTATAGGTTGAGTTTCTTCTAATGTGGACAGAAGTTTCTCCAGCAGCATGCATATACTTAAAAAATCACCGCTAGGAAGTTTTCTCCAGTTAAGCTGAAGAGCTGATGCAGTGCTCGGTACTTGATGTTGGTAGTTAGGTGCTGCCCAAAAATGAACTTTTTATTAAATGGCACCTTACTCTTTTTCCAAGACTTGAGCAAGTGTGGAAGACCACAACACATGTTCCCTTGTTGTCTTTCTTTCAACTTTGATCCTTTCTTTTTTCCTCTAAACACTTTTATTAAATTGATGCTGATACTCCTTTACAAGTGATAGTAGGGCTGTTAATGGAAAAACACAAACCTATTAATGTTTGAAATGTCAGGAAAGGTGTCAGTAATAGATTGACACTTGGTGCTCTGCCTTGAGAAGGCAAGCCTCCAGTGCAAACCTGAGTGATTTCAACACTACTGAAACCATCTGAATGAAAAATTAGCCTTTTTTTGTTTAATGCCTTATCAGGTATCCTGTTCCAGCATTTTGAATGATGCTTTTCAGATCCAGAAAAAGCAGCTTTGTGTGAAAATGCAGTGTGATTTGTACTCATGAGAGATGATGAAGAAAAACCAGATGGAAAATTTTTCATTTTAGATTAAAAATGTGCATAACTAATGCGCAGACTTAAAAAAATTGAAACAGGTAAAATTGGTGTGTTTGTTTTTTAATTGTTGCCATTACTAAGCTTAACACAGCTTCCCTTTTAAAATTTATGCTCTCCTATTATGTGAGTGCTTGGGAAACTCCCATGTCATGTATAGCTTTGGAGTGATATAATTAGCTTTTGTAAGCTTTACAAGGAAATTACTGGAAAGGGTGCTGTGCTCCTAGGTTGAATAGTTGATGGTGGTTTAGACCATAATCAGTTATTTGTGGTCAGGGATTGCAGTTAGCAGTGGCAGCAAGGAGAAACCTCTGAGGCTTGGAGGTTTAGAGTCTTAGAAATGCTCCAAAATTATTTAAAATATTTTCCTAAGCAGATTGATGAAATATTCCATGATTCTTCTAATGGGAACACGAATATTGTCGATATTGATATTGTTGATATTGTTTTATTTGAGAACTGAGTTTCTAAGTTTTCTTACTGATAAAAACTTCTGTGCTGTTATCTTAAGGTTTGCAATTAGTATGGTTATAACATTACAAATTTATATATTTAATGTATTTTAATTTATAGAAGATATTTTATTTTGTTTCCCTTTAGATGGGCACTCTGGTTTTTTAAAAATGACAAGAGCAAAACTTGGCAAGCAAATCTTCGTCTTATCTCAAAGTTTGATACTGTTGAAGACTTTTGGGCGTAAGTAAAGATGCTTCAGTCCATGTAATAATCCAGGCATATGTTGGCAAATCTAATGTGAAAGTGAAAACCCAAAGTACTCAATTAACTGCAATTTTATGGGTGTAATCTGAAATGTTTGCAAAATGGAAAGTGACATGTAGCACATTTCTCAGAATGTGGTAGAATTTAACCCTTGAAGAAAATGTGATTGAGGTTCTTCATACTTTAAATGTGTATTGTTTTGCTGTTAACACTTCAGCATTGCTTATATTCATATGTACATGTAAAAAATTACATTTTGTGTGGTATCTTACCTCATAGTAACATAAACTTGTAAATGATTGTAGCCAACTGATTGGCGCTTCCTTGGTGCCAGATTGCGCTAGTTGGTTAAATTCTCAGAAGGAGACATGGTGTCTTAGTGGAATAATAAGATCCATCAGTGACCCTTTAGCACCAACAGGAAAGAAATAGAGATACTGAAAATGTTGAGCAAGTATTTATCAGTGCAGTCCTCAGAGGGAGAGAAATAGGATTCTGTGCTTGTAATCAGCTTTCCCATTCCTACTATGGAGGTAGCAGTCTTGGGGTATGTGATGGCCAGCTAAATTGTTTGAAGCTCATTGTTAAAGTTGGTTAAGGGTAAGTTTTTAAGCTTCTATAAGAGTCTGAGCAGCTAAAAGTGCTTTATCCAGACATTTGCAGTGAGGAAGGCATAAAATTAGTCACAAGCAATTGAGAAGTTATGCCTCTATTGTAGTCAGAGTGGGAGAAAGTGTTAAGGTCAGTTTAAAGGAGGGAAGCTGGTCAATCTGTAAGTGGCTTTGTAAATTCCAGTGCCTGATCTCTAATTGTTAGAACATCACAGTAACTCATTTTCTTTTTTGGTGCTGGACAATGCCTGAAAGTTAGGCATGAATGAATGGTTTTGGCTAGAGGTTACTGTGATATGTGCAGACCTTCTTCTGAAGTCTTAACAGTGCAGGCAAAAAAAACCCAAACGTTCCTCCTCTTGCTAGGGGAGGAAACAGTATGTACTGCTATGATCTGCTCTGAAATGCATAGCTGTGAATTGAGTTCAGAGTTTATATTTTATATTTAGATGTTTGTCATCTCTTCTTACCTTTTAAGTTATTATTTTAATAATTTGAATCAGGCTGAGAGCCATTATCCCTAGAAGATTGTATTAAATGGTAAAGTTGAACATTTCTTAAAGATTTCTTTGCAGAGGTAGTAGCCTTAGAAATACAATTGTCCTTACTCCATGTATGTGTATGCACAGAATGCACATGCACACAGAACTTGTTGCTATGAAAGTTCAGTGGGTTATGTTTCTAATAACTTTGTTAAAACTTTGGTTAAAAGAAGCGTTGGTGTAGGAGCCCAGCAAGTGTTCGTAAACCAGTTTCTATTCTGCTTTTTTAACCCCAGAACATCCTAAAGCCCATGCTTTTATACTGCTGAAAAATACATCAGAAATAAGGTTGCTTCTGAAATTACTTTAATGCTTTTTAATTTTTGTATTTTGTTCAGTCTTATGTCTTAAGTTCTTAGGATAATTTTGTACCTTAAAATAATACTTAGTTTTAATCTGCTTTTTTCCTTCCAATAGTTTATACAACCATATCCAGCTCTCTAGTAATTTAATGCCTGGTTGTGACTACTCGCTCTTTAAGGTATGCTTGCTAACCTTTTTTCTTCAGTTATGGATATTCAGTGATGGATGGTTTCCTGACTAAGCAAGACACTGTTCAATATTTCACTTCAGATACTTAGGAATGTCCTAAAGGTATTACTTTCTTAAGAAAGTCCCAAATACATGTCCTCTGAAAATCAGGCTGTCACTAGTTCTGAAGATACAAGTACTTGCTTTATAGCGCACTTCACTTTTATAACACACAATTCACTTTTAAGTTTGACTGTGTTTGTCTTCATTTTATGTTTGAGGAAATAATTTAAGTGTTAATAACTTTTATAATATTAAAGATTTTCTGGCTCTGTCATTTGGTGTGACATGAAATGAGTAAAAACGTGCAAGTTCTGTGGGAGGCTGCAGTGTTCTCCAGTGCTCAAAGAACAGATGCAGCCTCCCACAGGTGCACAATGCACATACTAGGCAGATGCACAATACTCTTTTGATTTTTACACCATGAGTTAAATGCTGTATCACTTGTGCATAAAATACAAAGTTGTACCCAACACTGACACTTAAAACAGGCTGAGGAAGTGTTCAAACCAGCGAATAGGAAATGCTGATGAAAGTGTACATGAAATCCTGCTTTAGCTGGAGTAGAATACTGAAGTGGAGCTCTAAATTAAATCCTGACCTCTCTGAAGTGCTTCTAACATACAGCTTCCTTTCTGAATATCTAAATAATCCCTTAAGTCATGGTGGCTGGTTAAAACACTCCTTTGCCGATAAAACGTAGGTCCTGGCTGGACCTCTTCATAGGACTGTGTACATGGTTTGTAAACCACAGCAGCTGTAGGTATAGTGATGCTTGGGTTTGAGAAGGTAATGGTATTTTAGGTGACTGAAAAGCCTTGTTAGTAAATTTTAAGAAGCTGTAAGCCTTTCAAAGGTTGGAATATCTATGGATCATACTTGTATTTTTTTTTTTTTTTTTTTGCAAGGATCCTAAATTTGTTATAACTGTGTTTGCTTAGCAATAATTAAATTATTTAAATGCACGGGACAGGAACAGAATTGGCAACTGCTGCAGACTTCTGAGCAATTTCTTGCTCTCGTCCTTCAATTGTGACCTCGTAAGAGTACCTCTTAAATTTAAATGCCCTCACTGGCAGCTGCAGAGCTCAAACTATGTCATCACCTTTAAAAGTGAGCTGACACCACTTCATCCTGCATGTTGAACACTTAATTAGCTTTCAGCCAAAGTTATGTAGTGCGACTCTCTTCACAGACAGTTCTTTACTGAATTTCTGTCTAGACAGTTACCTGCTTTTTTAATGACTGGCTGTTCAGAAGTGCAGCGTAGCTGTTGGATATGGGAGAGGCAGCTGGCTGCTTTGCTGGATCAGCATATCCAGAGTCACTTAGTGAAGGGCCATTGGTAAAGCATTAATCAAAATGAAACTTGCTTCTGTATGGTGTGTTGATTTTTATTTATTTTTATTTTTCTCCTGTGGCCCTGACAGTTAAAACCCTTTTATTCTCACTGTGTGTGTGCAGGAAGTTGCTGAGATAGACTGCCAGGGGTGTCCGTTTCAGTGCAGTAATCTTAATGCATAAGCGAAGCACTTGGCCAGTGTTGTACCGAGTCCAAGACTTAAATAAGGACTTCAGAATGTAGCTGCTAATTTTGTCTGGTTTTATACAGGCCTATTCCCTCAGGGCTTTTTTTTATGTGGTGGTGTGTAGCCAAAACTTGCCTGGGTTGTGATTCTTCTGTAGAAATCATAGAATCATAGAAATAATTCATTAGCAAAAGCGCACTTGCTAATCTGTTTTGAAACTTTGGTACTGGTGCAAGACAGTATTTCTGGACACATATGTATCTCAAACAGTGCACTTTTTTCTGAAGTTACTGATTCAGTTATCACTGGCCTTTTGGTTATTCTTTAGGAAAAATACAGATCAGATCTGATTTAACTTCTAGCTGTTCTTTGCAGGATGGGATTGAACCCATGTGGGAAGATGAAAAGAACAAGCGAGGAGGACGATGGCTAATTACACTAAACAAACAGCAGAGGCGAAGTGACCTTGATCGCTTCTGGCTAGAGACAGTAAGCACTATGGCCTTACAAGTTGCAACGGAAGAATCTTATATTTGTATTTAATACTTTAACTGGTTTGTTCTTTCTGTGTGCCACACACAGACTTCTGGCTTCCTGGCAGCATAGTGTCCTGTAAGTTTTTATTGACAGGTTTTCAGTAGTGATGTTTAATGTAGTTCTGTTCTGTTGAATACTTATTATAGTGGGCAGCAGAAGTGAGAGTTCTACAGGATAGATTAACCTTTTCCTGTGGCTTGTACAGAACAGCTGTTGAGCTGCTGGGAAAATGATAGAGTCCTGAATGTCAAGACTCCCAGATTTGTCTGCTTAAGTGTAACAATTTGTTTACAAGTATTTGTAAATAAGAATAGTTTATTTGTAAATAAGAACAGTTTCCAGGTTTTGGTCCTCCTGAAGCGAGGGAGTTTAGTTTTGTTTTTGTTCTTTCTGTACTTACCTTAACACTAGGATAGACAAGTAGTAGCACAGTCTTCCTGTATGTACACTATAATAATAATACTGTCCATTGCTGTTACCTCTGGAATAGATTTTTCTGAATGGTAAATATACTTCTAGACATTGCAGGTTGCAGTATGTGTCTTGTAGAAAAGAATTGTACTGTCGAGGAGCTGACTCAGCTTAGCCTAAAACAGTCTAGTGTGTTCTGGGTCTTAGGTAATGAATTGCAGACATTACAAGGGAAAGCAGTCTTACCACATCTCTTGATCTTTTTTTCCTCTGCTTGCATGAGGTACAAGAAGTACTGCACCCCTTTGAAAGGGAGGAGTGGCCTTCAGGATCAAAGCAAGAGGTGTCTAAAATACCAGAGCTATTAGGAACTTTCTAGATCTCTAGTAGTGATTTGAAGAAAGGATTGTGACTAGTATACTACTAGGCAATATGACTGCACATGAGAAAATTAGTGTCTTGCTGTGTGCATTTGGCTTCTCCGTAAGTGCCTGTATGAGTCCTTCTGATTCTTAACAGGTATTACATGCAAACTGGAAACATGACTTAAGGCTAGAGGGCTCTGCTTTTTGTTTAGCAGCAAGCAGTAGCAGAGAGCCCAAATACCTGGTGACTGGGATGTCTGCTCTAAAACAACCCTGTCACTTGTAATTACTAGTAACCAACTTCCTCCAATAAAAATCAAAGCCCTTTATCAGTTCCCTGTGCAACAAATGTAATGTAATGATCCTTGCTGTTTTTAACTATAAACCGTATTTGGGAAGACTTTTCCTCTTTTTGCATAGCATTCATTAAGAATGTACTTGACTGTAGTGTTCACTGAGCATGGTAGTCATCTTTGCTTGCATATATACTAAGGCCGATCAGTATTTTGAATAGTTATGCGTAGTTTAAACTTAAACATTTGACTTTGCTTACTCAGTGAATATGTGCAGCCTGCAATTGGGTGTAACATTTAAAGTATGTGTAGTTATACCTGATTTATTCAGCAGCACACTTTGTCCTGTCCATTTTTTATTGCCATGAGGAAGTCAGACCTTGCAGCTTTCACAGGTACTGAAAGGCCTGCTTTGTTGAAAAAGCTGCAAATGTATTGAATTTCCAAATGTTAAACAAGTAAATCTGGAAAGGAAAGTTACTATAATGGCATCATGTTTAATGTACTGTGCAGGTGAAGTAAACAAGTGTCCATTTGGAGATTAATACTTCAGTGTGCAGAAGGATTTTTAATTCAGCATGGCCTAGATGAATCTCTTAACCATGAGAAATTCTCATCTTTGAATATCTAAATTTGCTTGTTTTACAAGTAGCACGTTGAAGAATTTAAATATCACTTCCGCAGTTAGCACAGTTACCAGGATGAGTCCTAAACTCAGTCTGATGTTCCACTTTTGCCAACTCTTAGCTTTACTGCTAGAAACTGATAGAGGAAGAATCTTGTGTTACTTGTACAGTTGTATTGTTGCAGTTGGGTATGCACTGTTCAGGATGATTGATTTCCACTTCAGAGTCTGTGGGAATTCCTGAGTGTATTGATAGGAAGTAACACTTCATTAGACAGCACTTTTCATCTAAGTTGCAGTCTGATTTGCATCAAATTGATACACTTCAGAATTTAAATTGGACCTTACATAGATGACACATTGCCCAAGTTTTTCTTCACAGGTTCTTCCTAGGTAGTGAATGTAAGCGCATTAAAGTTCAGGGTTTTCTATCTGTGTTAAACATACTGTAGAAGGAAAAATAAATTTCTTGAATTCTGTCATGGTTTTGGATTGGAAGGATGGGTGGGAGGCAGCACTACATTAAATGGTCAGCTGTGTCAGAACTTGCAGGTACTGGGCCAGGAGAAGAGATGGAAAACTCAACATAGGAGTTCCACAGTTGATTTTAAGTTCTCTTGTAACACTTGGAATTTCAGGAAGAGATTGCAATAAACAGAAGATGATTGCTGCATGGCAAGTGGCTATAAGAAATAAAATGTATTCTTCAGTCCTTTGTGTACACTGTTTGCCTGTGGAGCAGGATTCTGACTTGTAATGCCCCTTCTAATGGTTAATCTTTGTTTTGTAGCTGCTGTGCCTTATTGGAGAGTCATTTGATGACTACAGTGATGATGTATGTGGTGCTGTTGTTAATGTTAGAACTAAGGGTGATAAAATAGCAATATGGACAACTGAATGTGAAAACAGGGATGCTGTTACACATATAGGGTAAGTAAAGTGTTTGGTGTCTTGAACATATGAAATATAATAATGCATTTAAAGCCAGCTAACTTTATAAAGAATGCACTTCAGGCAAATGTAGCCTTTAATAGCATGGTGTGGTCTTCATTACTGTAAGCAACAGTAATCATCTCAAATTATCTGGAGACTGCAGTATGGAAAATGTATGTCGTGCTCTGTTATTTAGCAAATATTGTTAAGCTGATGTGTTTTTTATGCTGTAGTTTTGATGCTTCAAAATTACTTGCTGTTAAAGTCAGTCATTGTAGGCCACTTAACCTATGCAAATTCGTGAAAATATTTCTCTTCCCAGCTTAGGACATCTGTCTTAGGTCAAACTTTTAACTGACAGGCATAGTAACTTGCTAACATTTTTGCTTATTGGGTGGCTCTCGACGCATTCCTCATTTGGACCTTTAAAAATCTCTTGGGGTCTGCATTAACAATTTTATTATATGATCATGTTCAGATTTGAAAGGTAAGTGTCTAACAACAAACAAACAGGATTGTGGAACATATCATCTGTTATTAGAGAATAACCTTGCATCAAGCCTAATAGGCATCAGAAGATTTTTAGAATGGTACTAACCATTAACCTAAGGAGGTAACATGGCTCTGTTAGAGAACTGTAAAGAAATTAAGATTTTGCAAACTGACTGACACATTGACTAAGGTAAGTTGTGTCACTTACCTGCTGTACCTCGTGTTACATAACTTCACAGACAATAGATCAAGTTTTCATTTAACAGTTAAAGTCGTAGTAAGCTGTGGTTCTGTGAACTGCTCCATTATGATTAAGTTGGAGAAAACCCCCAAATTCATGTAGTTTTGTTAATCTGCAGTTGAGCAGGCTTGTCCTGTGGTTTAGTCAGCCCTTGCAGCCTACTGTCATTAGTGGCTTGCATCTCATTCACTGCTAAGGAATGCTCTGTTTGTAAGGTGTGTGCTGCTGCTTCTTTTTTCTTACAGCATGAGATCCAAGGTGATTTTTCTTAAAAGCCCCTGTTGGGTAGCTGCCCATGACCAGCTCTCTACCAGCTGCCCATGGTCTGCTCTCTACCAGTAGGTAAAGAAAATACAGCAAGTCTCTGCAACCGAAACGTGTGTGGTGACTGTTCCAGGGAATTGCTGTTTTATTAGGTTCAAGTGGCTTCATCATTTCAGTAGCTGGAATTGTGGACTGTGACTACTTCATAGCTGTTTTCTGTATGTGGGAATAAGGCTTGCTGATACTGATGATATTCACATGAATGCAGTGGAATCCCTGTGTTCGACATTTATGTAGGCCTGTTAAATACTTTTCTGGCAAGACCTTGTCCTATTTTATATTGTAAGTCATTGTTCGTACAGAACTATAACCTGATTTTTAGTTGCAATAACCTAAAAAAATCATGGTTCAAGGCCTTTATTCATACCTGAGAAATTGCTTCTAAATAGGCAACTCTTGTTTTAATGAAGGTGTCAGCAGATCTTAAAAGCAGGTGTCTTGGTACTAATGCCTTCCTAAGGGCTTAAACTATTTTTCTGTTTCTTTTCTCCAGGAGAGTATACAAAGAAAGATTAGGACTTCCTCCAAAGATAGTGATTGGTTATCAGTCCCATGCAGACACAGCTACTAAGAGCGGCTCCACCACTAAAAATAGGTTTGTTGTTTAAGACGACACCTTCTGAGTATTCTTTCATAGGAGACTGCGTCAAGCAATCGAGAGTTGGGAGCTGAACCAAAGCCTCTTCAAAAGCAGAGTGGACTACATTTAAATTTGATTTCCATCTAAGTGTTGCTAAGATTTGTGAGAAGTCTCATTCGCCTTTGTCTTGTACTTCTGTGTTCCATCTTTTGTTTTTTTTCCTTTTGTTTTTTTTTTTGTTTTTTTTTTCCTCTATTTTGGCTGAAGTAACCATTTCCAATCAGAACTTGAGTACACTTCACCCCTCAATTCATTAATGTTTTCCTGGCCCACTCTGTAATAGCTTGATAGAAACATTACTATTACAAGGAAAAAATAGTTTATCCACAGTATTGAGAAAAGAAGATGCATTTCTGTACCTGCAGGAAATTACTCTGTTTTACATTTGCATTGTATGCAGTAACATTTTGCTGGTTTGGAAAAAGAGTATGGTGCATACAGTTTTCTAGCAATTTTTTTTTATACAGCATCACCTTTGCTGTTACGTATGCTGATGGCTGCTAGATTAATTTATTTGTTTTCCCTATTTGATAACATTAGTGATATTTTGATTTCAGTTGGTTTTGCTCTTGTAACATTTGGTGAAGAATATGGGAATATGACAAAGGTGGAATAAACATTAATTTTGTGCATTCTTTGGTAATTTTTTTGGTTTTTTGTAACATCAAAGCTTTGCTACAAATTTATGCATTTCAGTCCAATCGGTGATCTGTTTGTGTGATTTCCTAAACATAATTGTGGATTTTTTTTTTTAATGTAACACCATAATTTACATTCCTTACTAGAAATAGTATGTCTGGTTTTGTATCTTATGCTGTATTTTAACACTTTGTATTACTTAGGTTATTTTGCTTTGGTTAAAATGGCTCGAGTAGAAAAGCGGTCCCATTCATATTAAGACAGTGTACAAAACTGTAAATAAAATGTGTACAGTGAATTGTCTTTTAGACAACTAGATTTGTCCTTTTATTTCTCCATCTATACAGCAAGTATTTGTACCTCTTGTGACAAGGCAGTCTCTACTGTGGCTTCTATTGTAGTATCTTCCAAGAAAGATGAATTCTGGAGCTATAGTATGTTGAAACTTCTAATAAATCTGTTAGCTAGCACCCTAAATCAAAGTGAAATTATGTTGATGTGGTTACTGTTTTTTCCTAGTGGTTGGTCTAATTGACGGTTTGCATTGTTTCTCTTTTGACTTTCGTTTATGCCAACCAAGAAATCCAAGGGTACATAGAAAGCTGTCTAGTGTCAGGTAGAAACTACACTAAAAGCACTTAAGTGAGTGATTCTACTTTAAGTATGTAGTTCTTATATGAAGTACAAGTAGAGTGCGCTAGAGACATGGCTACAAGGTAAAAGTATACGAGGATCTAGATAGTCTGCTGTTACGTATATCTTAGAATGGAATTTAAACTTCCATTGGCTTGAAAGTTTCTGTGGGATCTGCTAGTTTCCTTGACTTGCAGGATTGGGGGAGGATCTTAAAGGCTGTTGAGTTAACTTCTTGTCTTGAACACGAGAGAGGCGTTTTCTTTCCACTCTTTTAAAGAGCTTTATTGCTAATTTCTTATTTTTAGTGTGTGATATACTTTAAGATCTTGCCAGGGCTATGTAGCCTTTCTTGAGATAAACTTAAAGGCAAATGCTTGTTTGGCTTTTGATCTTTGTGATAATTCCTTAAAGCAAGTTTAGTCGCTGTGGACAGTGAAGCTTCAGTTGGATCAGGCTTTTAAATCCTCCTGACTAATGCGCTGAAGTATTTTTGTGAGCTAAGGTGTACTTGAATACTTTCTTGCACATTTTTTCCAAAATGTGACGTAAATAGCATGTCAGACTATACAGAAAAGGTATTGCATTAACTTTGGATCATTATTATGTCCAACAGAAACACTTCCAGTAGGCGTGTCTAGCCAGTGGTACTATGTCTTTAATACTGGTCACTAACTGGGATAGATGTTAGATGTGGAGAGAGTGGTTAGGCTGTTTCTATGCTGGTCTCTCTGGATTCTGGTGTAACTGATCACCTTCCCTGATTCTGCGGGTGGGCAGAGCCAGCTGGATTTATTAGGGCCATTCATGATAGAAAATAGCAGTCACTGCCTGTTCTCCGGTTTACTGTTTCAGTTTATCATCTTTGCAATTGAAGTAAGCTCTTTGAACGAGATTTCTCTGAACTACTATACCATCAGTTTCAAGCTGAGTAGACTCTCTGTAATTTGGGAGTGCTGGTGCAAGGCTCACTATAAAGTGTGTAACAAGGTAGAGCTGCCATTCTGTGAAGAGTGTTGAGATTGAGTGCTGTTGTGAGAAGTACATAGTAATGGGTTTGTTTCATTTCACTACAAGACTGACTGGAATATTGTTGAGGATAGCAGCATTTTTGTTAACCCAGAAAAGTGATTGATATTTTCTTGGTATAGTCTCAAGTTTTTGAGCCTGAGCCTATTTAAGCAGCCAACTGACTTGCACTGCAATATGAGAATTGCAAGTAGGTTGATTTGAGGCTCGTCACTGCTTCAGATAACAAATGCTGTGTTTCTAGAAGACTTGAGTGAAAATTATACATACTTGTTTTATCAAATAAATAACCTATGCCTTTAATTCACTGCTAGAAGTAGCAAGTGGCCATGAACATAGTGTTCTCCAACTTGCACATCACTTTGTGCTGCATACTAATGTTCTTCTGATTATAATGGTGTGGTTTGTGTTCTTACACAATGGGAGAAAGCCGAGAGCTCTCCATTCTTGTATTAATAAAATGGTCACAGGCTCTCGAGAGGAAAAAGCAGTAAATGTTAAGTATCTAGTTTTGGTACAAAATACCTGGCATCATTAAACTTCCAGCTAAGTGGGTAGCCATGGTGAATGTGTGGTTTAGTAACCCTGAGAAAACTAAAGGATAAATGTCTGAAGCTTCTATTCAGAAGTGGTTCTGTATGGTACCAAACCAGAAGAGCAAGGAAAGCAGAAACTTGCTGTGTTTGAAGAGGTATCAGAATGTGCCCAAATATACCTGGGAAGAAGGGGCAACAGATAGGGAATAGTTGTGAATTAACAGCTTCTGGGTGTACTGCAGTCTTGGGCTGTGCAATGCTTTTCATTGTCACTTTGTTTTGTCATCCTGCAGTGTCTCTGTCTTGTGTTTCGGGCTGTCTCTAGCTCAGGAAATTTAATGTTACTCAAAATCTGGGAACTTGGAATAGCGGCTTTTTACAAAGCTTGGACTGAGCTCAAAACTTCATATTACCTAATGGGATTTTTTTTTCCTATAGAGATGCTTGGAAAAACTGTTCTGGACTCCATGGGACCCATACTAAAAGGAAAGAATCCATTGCATTTCAGCTTAGTAAAGTGACATGGATCTTCCCTCTGATATGTGACCTCTCTTGTTCCAGGAAGTGTTACTTTTGAGTCTAGGACCGATGGTTTTAAACCCAGATTTCTAAGAACATCCTGCACTGAAGTACTAACCAAATAGTTGAACTTAATAGTTAAACCCACAGACCTTTCAAACTGCCTAGCACTTAACTTGTGGATGACTGTGTCTGCTTCAGAACAGTCAGTAGTTTCTGCAAATTGTTTTTTGCAAGTAGTTTTTAGGTTAGCCTTATTTAATGCAGAATTTGTGCCTTTTCATTGGGCAACAAACAGACATGAAATGACAAATGAAAATGACATCACCAGTAAGGTAATAGTTTCTGCATATTTCACATTGAGACATTTCATACCTGTCTATTCAAACTAGACTTGGAGAGCAGGGGTGCAGGGTGTATCAGCCAGCAGTGTGGAACAGTCCTGGCAGTTGAGTGCACCTGCTGGGCCTCTCCATCATTTCAAATCTCCAGAAGCTGTTAAATATGGAAGACTTTATTATATCTTGGTCTCTTTGCAGGACATTTGTTGTTGTAGCTGCTTGCACACACTTTCTGCCTTTTAGCTCTTAAAGTTTTTGTATTCCACCAGGATTGGTGGCACTGCCACAAAGGCACTGCAGCAATGCCTTTAATAAGCACTTAAATTCCTTCCCCTGTGATGAAAACCACGGTCACTTCTGCTCCTGCCTGGTGGCTGCCTGGCACTTTCCTAAAAGACTATGGGATGCCCTGCTAGCCTTCCTGTCTTGAAATAAAGCAGGTTTTGATGTCCAGAGCTAAATGTGAATTGTGGCTGAGGACATGATGATTGTTACGCCCTTAGCATTAACTTGTTTTGTGTGATGCCTTAAATGTAAACACATCCTAGCTGGAGTCAGTCTGTTGGTACCGGTTTGCCTGCTAACCAAATGTAACTCAGATTTATTTTCTTTACTATTATTCCCTGCTAGTGCTGAGTGTGTGACAAGCTTAGCTGTGAATCTGTGGGGTTTGTGACTGCCTGTGCTTTCCCATCTCAATTTTTCTAAATCCTGATAATTTTCAAGCTTTATTAAAATATATTTAATAAAGGGAAAAATTATCACTGAGTCTAGTTACTGCTTCTTTTGGTCACTGATACCACGGAGGATTACAGGTGTTGCTAAACCCAGATACAGGCTGTGTGTGACTTCTTTGGCATAATATTCTTCTTTATAGGATTTTCACTTTTTTTTTATCTCTAGCCATGTAAGTATAACAGGGAAAATGATACTTGAAAATGTGTGTGAATATATCGTACGTAAAGAAAAAAATGACTCATTTATTTTTTCTATTTTTTTTTTCAAAGTAGAAAACTTGTTATTTCTAAAAGGTTTCTTTGACTTTATGTAACTAATGATTGGGTTTTGCTTTCAATAGGTAGTTGAATTTTTTCCTTATGTTGTGTCTATTAATGTTATTGAGGAATTGGAGCCAACCTCATAGGTAAGGTTTGGTGTTCTAGAAGAAAAGCTAGTTTTTGAGCCTTCCTCTGTATGTATAGGGTAGTTCCCATAGTGCATCGCGCCCTGAGCCATACAAATATGCAGAACGTATAATGGGAAATTGGAAGGTACGACTTTATTTCTGTAGCTTGAACAAAAATAAAGCTTCTGAGGAACTGAATGTCTCAGCTTCTTGACTCTGAATGGGATGTAGAGAAATGCAGATCAAGGATGAATGAGTAAGGCTCTACTTTGAAATGTGTGTTCACTCTTCAGTTTGAAGTTTGTGAGTAGCTGGGGCTTCTGCAGCTCACCCACAGATCAGCCTTGTTCTAAACAAAAGTTAAGTAGCACAGTTGCAGTGATACTGCTGACTGCTCTTCCCTTGTTTGCCATTTTCCACAATAGCAAAGAGTCATCTGAATATGTTTGTATAGTGGTCCTACTGTTAGAAGGTTGCATATAATCTCCTAATAGGAGCTCCTCTGTTCCTGTTGTGACACCTTATTGATATTAAACAGCTGGAGGCAGTACCCTGAGCTTGCAGGAGGGGTTTTAGTCTGGATTATCCATTACAGGTTTTAAGTCCAGAAATATATGGAGATATTCAAGGCCCGCCTGGACAAGTTCCTGTGTGATGTACTCTAGGTTACCCTGCTCTTGCAGGAGGGTTGGACTAGATGATCTTTTGAGGTTCCTTCCAACCCTTGGGATTCTGTGAAATAAATTGACTCTCTAGGTACATCATTGTGCAGCTGTACACTTAATACTGGAGACTTTTAGGTATATACTCTCTTACACTGAAGATTTTTTGGGATACAAGAGCAGATGTTTGATTTTACTGCAGTTCATCTTCTGCATTTGAAATGGGAGTGTTCCTGTGTAGTGGGGAGATGGTGACTACTGACTGCCACAGGTGGAGGTGCTGCTTCAAAGCTTCCCTGGACCTCGAAAATTCGGCCTTGAGTTCATTCCCTGAAGGCAAAGGAGAAATACCTGTAGGCTGCCATCTGCAGGTAGATGCATTCCAGCTAAGTTGGGTAAAACAGTGCTTAAAAGGCCTCTGAAGTCTCTATTCATCAGTAGAGGTTAACTTCCCTGTACACACAAAC